TGAGGGGGAGAGTACTGCTCCAGCATTCGCCTCGTAGATTTCAACATAATGCTAGCATTATGCGAAGCTACGTATGTCTGAGGAAAACCCCCTGACAAAACCCCAGACAGAGCAGTCGGCAGCGGGATTCGAACCCACAACCTCCCGAATAGCATCGGTGAGCGCATCCACTGCGCCACGTGCCTCGGTCCCCATTTGACTGCGCTCGTGTATTTATATATACCTTACCGTTGTAGTGGGGTAAGGATAGTGGCAGGGATATCTGCCTGCGCAGTCAAATGTTTATACGGAGTGCTCCTGCCCTCTCTTGACAGAATTCGCATAATTTTTAAAAGATTTTATTCGAAATCTGAATTAGAAAATTACTGAATTTTTTTATTCTTACATGTCTCCTACCTCTTCGGATGGAAATCCGCCTGATTTCCATAAACCCATCTCCAGAGCAGTTCCCCTCGGCACCCGAAGTCTCTTGTCCCCGATTCGTATGGTAATCTTCCTTCAATTTCGTTTCTGTTTACGGGTTAATGCCGGTGCCTCTGTGTTGGCAGAGGTGTTGACATGCGGAGTGGGAGTTGCCCTGTCCCGGAGGTACTGGTTTGCGGGCTGCCTGGATAAGGGAGTAATTCCACAACCCCTGGGATATTGGACACCACTTCCACCTTCTTCCAAGTCCGTAACACCTACTTCTATGGATCCTATCTCCATACACGCTCTTTGGAGCTCTACTTATAAATTATAATAATAATATAATAATAATAATAAGATCTTTATTCTTGAAACTGTGCATCACACCCATTGAAACGTCATACAGAGTGAAAAAATAACAAACTTTACGTGCAGGTACGAACAACATTGAGTGAACACATAATAAATAAATTAGCAAGTGGATTGCCTAAGTGAATCTAGCAGTCATGAACTCTGTGAATTCCTTGACAGAATAAAACGTGTTATCCTGTAGGAAATTTTTAATTTTATTTTTAAATGATTGTTGGTTGCAGGTGGTGAACTCTAACGGCAACAAGTTAAACAATTGTGAATCCATCATATAGGGGGATTTATTATAGAAAGAGTGGTGGTGCTTCCTTGTGGAAATTTTGTCCTTACCCCTCGTATTGTAGGTATGGGTATCTCCCACTTTCCCAAAACTGTTTATATTTTTGTGTATGTAACAGAGCAATTTGAATATGTAAATGTACTGGGGAGGGGTAAGATTTTAAAAGTTTTAAAAGACCCTCTGCATGATTGGAGAGAACTTAGATTAAATATTAAGCGAATTATTCGTTTCTGCGCAACTAGTCTGTGCAAGTGCGTACTGCTCCCCCAGCAGACAATGTTATAATTTATATGCGAGTAAACTGTGGCATAATAAACCTTTATTAAAAAATCTTGGTGAAACTGTTGTTTCAAACGTGATAACAAATAATATGATTTGTTGATTTTAGCAATTAGATATTCCATATGATTTGACCACGACAAACAATTATCAATTTTGATGCCTAGATACATGGTGGACGTGCTACAGGAGATCACAGAGTTCTCTACGTCAAATTCGACAGCAGCATTTTCGTGTGTTTTATTTTTGGTCATTTTCGTAATCACGGTTTGCCGAGAGTTAATGGACAGTTTATTTTCCTGGCACCAAGAAACAAATTCGTTTAAGACACATTTTAGTTTGTGTGTGGCAGCATCATCATCGTTAGCACTTACTACTACTGCAGTGTCGTCTGCGTAAATAAAAGTCATTCCATTTAGGATTCCTTGGGGTAGGTCATTAATATAAATCAGAAACATGATAGGCCCGACGATACTACCCTGTGGCGTATCGAGGTCCAATTTATATTCCGTTGACAGTTTATTGTTGTACTTTACGGTATATTTCCGATTCGATAAAAATGAAATAAGGAAATCGCGTGTTTCATTTCTGATACCTGCAGCGTCCAACTTTTCTGACATCTTATTAATGTCAATGCTGTCAAAAGCTTTAGATATGTCGAAGTATATAACAAAGCAAGTATTGTTCGAGTCCATTTCATTGGTCATCTGTTGTACTAATTTAATTGCGGCATCCTCGGTTGACAGGCGTGGTCGAAAACCAAATTGTCTGTCGGAGAGGACGTTAAATTTATCAAAAAATTGTATCGGTCTGTTGTAAATACATTTTTCGAAAATTTTTGACAAAGTACTCAGTAGTATAGCCCTGTAGTTTCGAGACATCTGATGAATTACCCTTTTTTTTAATCGGTATGACACATGCAGCTTTCAATGCACTGGGGAAGACACCTTTTGTAATACAGGCATTAACAATGCTTGATAAATAGGGCGCAATAAACATGGCGCATACTTTTAATAAGTTGTTGGGGATCTCATCCAAACCCGGAGAGCAGTTGGATTTTAGCGTATGTATGATGTTATATACCTCAGTGGGGGAGCATGGACTGAAGTAGAAGGAATGTTTTTTGGTAAGAAGTGGTGTATGATATGACTTCTTTCTGGAGTGGGTAGTTGTGGCCAATTAGCCATTGGTGACGGTGTGCTGGTTATTTCCCTTCTGCTTGGTGGAATTAATCCAGGTGGTGTTCGGATGTTTTGTAAAACCTTCGGGGTGCCAACACTAGACCCTGGTGAAAACGAACAAGGACTCCCACACAAGTCCTTCATCCTCCTGGTCACCTCCTCCATCACCATCAACGACATGGGCTTCCTCCTGGTCACGTATGCCAGGGATTTCCTTCTCCTGCGGCACTCTTCATTCTTCACCCAACGATTAATCTTTCGACTTTGCTTGGTTCTTCGTACCGGAGCCATTATACTTACACTGGTCTCTCTGTCCTCAGCTTCGTTGTTATATATTGCTTCTGTTCCTCCCTCTTGTGTTGTTCTAATGTCCTTCACATGGCACCGGAAATTTATTGGGTCGTGTACCTGTAGAATAACAGGAGAAATTACCTTTTGGATCCTTTAGGGACCTTCAAATTTTGGTGTGATTTTAGTAGTAATTCCATTTCCTTTATCCGACAAGGTGTGGTTTCGGCAGTAGACGATATCTCCTACCTTGGGTCGGTATGGTCTCCGTAAATCGTAATAATGTTTTTGCGTTTGGAATGCCTTAGCTAACGATTCCCTAGCGAGCTGTTTCATATCTTCCAATTTTTCTAATTGCCGGACTTCATGTTCTTTAAAGGGTTCTCCATTTTCTTCTTCCTTCATTTCTCTGGACAGTGTTCCTGTGGGCAACATTTCTCTTCCAAAATTGAGGAATGCTGGTGTGAATTGAGTGGACTGGTGTTTTACTGTGTTGATGGCAAATGCGATTTCGGCCAACTGGGCATCCCAATTCTTAGAGTTTTCTTTTGCTGTTTGGGTGCAATCATTGTCCCAATAACTTTGTTGGCCCTTTCTACCGGGTTTGCCTGCGGTGTGTAGGGTGGCGTCAGCCGGTGTTTGATTCCCCTTTCTCGTAAGACGGTTTCGAATGCCCTACTTATGAATTGGGCTCCATTATCGGATACCAACGTTTGTGGGCTTCCGTACCTATAGATGATTATTTCTTTCAATAATCTAATTACCACCGCGCTAGTGGCTCTTTTTATTGCCTTTACTTCCACCCACTTTGTAAAGCGATCCTGGAACACCAAGGCGTAGCAATTTCCTTTGCTGGATCTGGGAAATGGACCGATCAAATCAATACTTACAGTTTCCCATGGTTTGTTCACTTTCGTGAAATACATTTCCAGCGCCGGATTTAGGTTTTGTGCGCCCTATGCACTCAAATAATTTGCGCCCTTTATGTTGGTCCAAATGACCCCCCCCCCCACATTAGCACAATTAACTCGGTTTTCACGTTAAGAACTTTATTATTTCAAGAACACAACAAAATATAGTAAAAGAATAAATAATGGAAACAAAAATAGGTAATGATCTAATGAAGTTAACAAGAACTCATCAGCCTCAGAACATTTTCCTACGGGCTTTCACATGTGCAAATTCACATATTAGTTCCTCGAAATCAATATTATTTGTTATGTCGTGATTAATGGCAAGAACACTCAAGTCGTTCAAATTCTCGTCTGCCAAACTCGACCGCAGCCAACTCAATAGTCTTTTTAGCAAGGAAAAGGACCTTTCGGCCGAACAATTTGTTATAGCTTTAGATAAGAAAATTCGAAAAATTATATCTATATTCGGAAAAACATCTTGCATGTCTTTTTCTTTAAAAGTTGCGAACATTTCGTGGATCGTCCATTTTTTTTCGGGATTTTCTAGGCAATTAAAAAATTCTCTATAATGGACACATTCCATCACAAAATTCTCGTCGATATGATCTTTGTAATGCTCAAGTAATTTCCTTGCTTCTCTCTCTACATCATTTGGTTCCAAGTTATGTAGATGGAACAAGAAATTGAATTTATCAGTTGCATTCTTATAGGCTACATGTCTTTTCTGCATTTCGTTAGCAATATTATCCAATATTTCCAAATAGTCAACTCGCAGCTTCTCTTTACCCGTCAAAACTGTTTCATCTTCTTTTGAAGCACTTTCGTCAGCAGCTCGTCGTCTTGTTACTGTCCGTGTCTCAGTTGTGGGTTCAAGACTGCTTCCCAAAATATTTTTCGCTTCATGAAAAAAATCCTCAAATTTGGCTTCGGATCGCAAGGCAGCAACAAAGTTCACTAGAGATTCATAGAGAACCACAGCTACCTGAAGATCTCATTCAACTTCTTGTAATTTTTTGCTCGTTTTATGGAATCTTTCTAAAATTATATTCCAGAAAATATTCATGAAAACAAATTGAAACTGGCCAAGTTGCTTAATTAGTCCCATAACTTCACAACGAACTGTGGCCTTCTGTGATTGGTCAGCTTGAATGCGCGTCAATGCTGCTAAAACTGCTTCTCGATTTCCATATAAGCTGCTACACGCAAAATGCCGACTTGACCATCGTGTGCCATCCACTCTTTTCAGCACTTTCTGACCTGGTTGTAACATCCCCGTCAGTATTTCCCACCTAGCTGTAGATGCGCTGAAAAATGTGAACAAATAATGATGAGAGTCATGAAGAACTTGACTGCTATTAAATTACATTCAGCTGCAGCTGCTCCCACAAGATTCAATGAATGTCCAGAACAAGGTACATACTCAGCCAGACCACACAACTCGAGAATTATAGCTTGCAGGCCAGAATAAATGCCGGACATGTTGGTGGCATTATCATATGATTGTCCAACGCAATTTTTTATGTCCAACTCCATTGATTCCAGAATTAGAATCACAGCATCCGCCATTTATTTGGCCTTATGACCGACATTTGGTAGAAATCGAATAAATCTTTCAACAGGAACATTTTTGACATACCTCAAAATTACTGAAAGTTGGTCAGTATGACTTATATCTGGTGTTGAGTCGACAATTATTGAAAAATATTTGCTTTTCTTCACTTCATGAGTTATGACCTCAGTAACTTTTTTCGACATTAATGAAATAAATTCGTTACATATTTGAGAAGAAAGATATGAAGTTCTTCCACTGCCTGGATTTCCACACTCTGTAATATGTTTGGCTAAAAAAGGATCAAACTCAGCTATTAACTCTAAGCACATCATATAATTTCCATTGTGAACGCTCCCAAATTTTTCTTCTGATCCTCTAAAAGGAAGGCAACGTGAGCTTAGTTTTTTAACAACTGCCACAACTCGCTTCAAGACATTTCTCCAGTAACTGATTTCCTGCTCAATTTGCTCATAAAGTTGATTGTCAATTCTACTAGCAACGCGAGATCTTTCAAAAAGAAGTTTTCCACATTTATAATGCTCTGGAGAATTGTCATGATGAGAAAATACAGGATGTGCATTGGACCAATCAGCCATCACTTGTAGCCAAGACAGAAGTGCCATTAAATAGTCGACAAGGTATACAATATACTGATTTTTTGCTAGGTGAGTATATCAAATATTTTCCTACTTGTTTTTCACCATTCTGAAGTTCACGCAAGAACATATTCCTAGTTAGGCTTCTGAATTTTTTCTGGGTTGGAAAAAATTTTTTTGTTTCGGGAAAATCAGCATTTAAATTCTGATCGATACTACCTCTGGAGATCAGATAATCAATTGTAGCATCATTGATGACCCATTCTGCTGGATCGTTACTAACTGCACAAGACGACTTTTCTAATTCATCTCGCTGATCTCCCCTGTCAAGAATATTTCCTTGCAGCTCTTCTCGTTCAAGTTGATCAACTTCAGGCTGAAGCTGATGTTTTAAAACTACAGTGGCTGATGGTGATGGTATTGTGGCAGCAGAAGTACTTGGCAATTCGAGCGATGTAGACAGTAGTACTGAACTAACATTACCTGTTGTATCAGATTCAGGTTTTTCTATTGGTTTATAAAATGTCTCCATTCTTCGAACTTTCTTCAACACAGCTTCTTCTTTCTCTTTTCTTGCTTTTCTGCCAGCCGCTCCACTCATTCGTTTCAATCGTTTGTCCATTTTCACCAATTGTTCATAAATGCTTCAACCTGAAGGAAAATCAAAATGAAAATCGTCACTACAAAACTCAATTTGACTAAATTGTTTAGCATTAGCACTGATCTGATGTCTTACTGAAACTACCAAAACTTACATTACATTCAAAAACAGCGAGAAAAGAATCATATCATAATTTGTTTAGCAGTTCAACTGATAAATAATTCCCTACTGCTACTACTCTGTCACTGTTTGTGTGTTACAGCTTGTACTGTATGACAGACACGACACGAGACACAGCACCAGGCGCCTACACTACAGGCTACAGGCCGCGATGCGCGATGAATGAACTCAACTGTGGTGTGGCAAGCTGGCAACAGTCAGTGGCAAGTTGGATCATGCGTATAGTAGGGGAGCTAGCACGAAATCCACTGAACGAGAATGATCAAAATTTTAACCGATGGAGTTCCATTTTGCCCTATCAGAGTATGCTAAAATCGATCGTCTGCCGCCTCAGGTCATACGACTTAAGGCGCTGCGGGTACTTCTTGTGGTACCAATTCTAAAAGGTTGTTTTTCGAAAAAATAAGTTATACACCTAATGAAAACGTTGATAATAGCTCTTAAAAAAATATTTAAAAAATCGCGAACATTTGATAACTCCGTAAAAGAACAATTCTTAGTCGGTTTTTCACGAACTTTCTACGGATATAAGTAGGTTACCGTTGGATGAATGAAGCTAATTTTTTTTACAGACTAATGATAGGTACAGCCAATGATTATGACAGTGTTTCTTTTTTAAGTTTTTTCTCTAATTATAAGATATCTTATAATGTTAAGATAATAAGACAATCTTATAATTAGAGAAAAAATTTAAAAACGAAACACCGTTAAGTCATTAGTAGTACCTATCATCAGTCTGTAAAAAAAATCAGCTTCATTCGTCCAACCGTAACCTAGTTATATCCGTAGAAAGTTCGTGAAAAACCGACTAAGAATTGTTTTTTTACGGAGTTATCAAATGCGCGCGATTTTTTTAAATATTTTTTTAAGAGCTATTATCAACGTTTTCATTTGGTGTATAACTTATTTTCTCGAAAAACCATCTTTCAGAATTGGTACCGCAAGAAGTACCCGCAGCGCCTTAAGTCATATGACCTGAGGCGGCAGACGATCGATTTTAGCATACTCTGATAGGGCAAAATGGAACTGCATCGGTTAAAATTTTGATCATTCTCGTTCAGTGGATTTCGTGCTAGCTCCCCTACTAGTAGTTCTAGTTGTTTTCGTTTTATAAGACGTCGTTTCCTCTCCCTTCCCCTTGTAACGTGCTCGTGCGCACTCAACACTCCGACACTCGTGACGAAGATGCAAATTGGAAGCTTGTCGTGATACCGGCGTTATAAGTAACAAAATTTTGCGCCCACAAAAGTTTTGCGCCCTACGCACGTGCGTAGTGTGCGTATACCTAAATCCGGCGCTGTACATTTCCCCTTTCGGTTTCTGGTTCTCCGATTTATATCTCAAGCAGGAATCACATTGCTTTTTTTTAAAGGTGGTGGTCAACTAAGTTGATTGTGATCACCCACTCCCTGTTTGTCTGTGATGGCCCGGATTCATAACTGCCCAGGCGGCCTGATGCAAACTGACGGCTATGCAAGAGGTAGACCTGGGCCGGCGTTAGAGTGCGGGGGGTATGTACCGCCCCTAAGTAGGCTAGACCCTCCGCACTCCTCAAGCTAAAGCGCATTGCCCAAGCGGGGCCGGCGAGCAATACGCTTAGAGAGGGGCCGAAGTTTCAGCCGCGTCAGTGATGACTGGCGGAAGTCCAGAAGTAGGAGGTAGGAGGGGGAATAGCGAGTCCGGGGGGGGGGGGGGCTCAAAGTCCATGGTATCCATAGACTGAGAGGTTGCCATTGAGTATAGGCCAAAAGACAACCCAGCTGTCTGGAGCTGCGTTCGTTTGACCAACCGTAGCGCCATACGGTTATTGGCGGCAAGTTCATTGCCCACTAATGCTGGCGCCATAATGGTGGCGAGATCGGCGTCATAGGTCATTACAGAGCATGGTTGAAATGTGGCCAGGGCCTGTAGGTATATGGCACCGGGCAACAGTGCGGGGGCCGCCTGGACTGGGGCGACACCTTTAGCCCATGATAGGGAAGTCTGCGAAAGCAGGATGGGAATAAGGGCTGGCCTTAGGTACTGTGGTATTAGAGATGAGATTATTTACAATGAATGATGTGTTGCCTGGGCTATGGTAATGATTCACCCAAGCTTTAAATTGAAATTATACAGGGCAGGTTTTAGGTTATGTTTCCCTCGTGCAGGAAGGGAGGTCTACGTGAAGTAATTTCATCCTTCCGGGATTTTCGTCCAAATTTAATCCCGGCGGGACAAAAACTGACACTTCAGTACTTGTCATAATGGAGTGAAGTTGTCACTTTAGTCTCGGAAGTACGAAAAGACAATTTTGACACGTGGAAATTGCAAATGAAAGCGATTTTAGTGAAAAATAAATTATGGGGTTATACAAATGGAACGCAGAAGGAAGTTGTGCTGGAAGATGATGAACGAAACGCGAATGCCGTAATAAGTGGAAAACGGAAGATAGTAACGCGATGTCGGATATTATTTTAGCTATCCATCCTAGCGAATAGAAACAGGTCAAAAATTGTTCAACAACTCGCGAATTATGGCTAAAGCTCGAATCGATTCATCAATCATCCGGTCCTGCGCGTAAAGCGACGTATTGAAAAATTTGACATTACACAAAATGTCAGATAAAGGTGATACACGTGAACATTTGAATACGTTTTTCGGTACGGTCGACAAATTAAATGATATGGATGTAGAAATAAATCCGGATTTGTTGTCCGTAATGCTATTATATAGTTTGCCCGCTAAATTCGAAAACTTCAGATGCGCGATAGAAACGCGGGACTTACTGCCAACTCCAGAAACTCTTCGTATCAAGATTCTGGAAGAAAGCGAAGCTCGAAAGAAGGATACATCCAACATTGTATCGAACGCTATGGTGGTTAATAGACGTTTAGATCGACCAGATCACAATTTTGGTAGTGATTGTCGCGACCCTAAGGAATAAACAGAAAAACGGTAGTGCGAACGAAATTCGATGCTACAAGTGTTAGCGAAAAGGACATATAGCTAAAAATTGCAGAATTGTTCAACAAAAGGTAGCGAAGGCGGAAGTATGCTTAAATACTTTCGAAACGGATACACTGAAATACAAAAGATGGTGCCTAGATAGCGGAGCTACGTCACATATGTGCGATCTGAGAATTTTTCTGAAGTCAGAAATGAATATAAAGGTTACTTGCATCTGGCAGATAATGCCTCAACGGAAATTATAGGTTCGGGAACGGCCAAATTTGTTGGCGAAACGTTTGGTAAGAAAACATCAGTAATTTTGTCTAATAGTGATTAACATGTCATGAACTCGAGGGGAGGTGTTAGGTTTAGAATTCCAAATATTTAATCAAGATTGTAATTGTCGTTAATAGTAAAAACATTCTCGTTCACGTTGTTCAAACAGATTTTCTCATTAATAATCTAAAAATTTATGTAGCGCCAACCTTTTTGCAAATAACTGACGAAAAACGGTGAAGGGTTAAAAAATATTTTTGTCAGTGTAGGTTAAATACCAACAAACAGGTAGGAAAAATTAAGTATATGTTTAAAAAAGCACGAAAAATGCTGAACCTTTTAAAAAATGCATAAAATCTTAAAATATGCATAAAAAATTGTAAATTATAACTGAAAACCAAGTAATTCGTGCACATTATAAGTTCAACAGTGATGCTAGAAATTGTTACGTATAGATATTTTTCTATAAATCCTAACTCTACTCATTACATATATTTGTGAATTTCTGTTGACAGGTATCAAGTCGGGTTTCTTTTCGTTCGAGTAATAAGAGATCACTTCTCTGACAGCTCGCCAATCAATTCCTATCGCCAGTAAAACTCACTTACCTGGCTAATAATGTAAAATACTATTGGCCGAAGACATTTTATAGTAAATATACCAAGTATGGCATTGAAAACGAAATGGAAGCCAGAAACACGTATGCGGAACGTAACAATTACATGGTAGTTACGACAGGGATAATTACTTGCAAAAATAAGCCCTGGTTAGCCGTTACTCCAGATGGAGTTGTGTTGAAGAATGGGTACCTACCTATCCGTTTAAACTTTTCGAAATAAAATGCCCTTGCGCTGGTAAGATTTTCAATACAAAATGTCTATTACTAGTATCATCTGTTTTAGGAAAAGGTTGCAATGCTGTGGAATTTATACACAAAAAAAATGTGACTACCTCAAAATACAAAATGAACGTGTAACACTGCATAAAAACATCAATATTATGCACAACTACAATTAGGATTAGCCATTCTAAATTAAAAAAATTGTGATTTTGTTGTATATTCATTTTCGAAATCCTTTCTGAACATTGTAGTTCCATATGATGAAGATTTTGCAAAGAACTTAATAGGTAAATTAGAACGCATTTATTTTCATAATATGCTATAATTACATTTGTTTAAATAAAGTTGTTTGAAAGTAACTAATTTTACTATGCCATTTAGACAACGAATATAAATTTATCATCAGCCATAATTGGTGAAGTTAGATTGACCAATGCACAGGCAATTGTAAAAATTTCATTTGCGATTGGTACAAGGGACCATGGCAATGGTTTGTTGAACATTTCAAACACTTTGATCCTCTGGTTACAATGTTCTATATCAATTCTTGCTTTTGCAATTGCCAAATTCAAGAGTGCCTCTTCCTTAGTTAATTGTTTTTTATTTCTTAAAAATGGTGGTTGCAATACTTTTATATTGTGTGAAGAAGCAATGTCTTTTATTAAAAATCCTTTATCGACCATTATTTCATCCACTCCTGCTGTCAATTTAATAATAGTCGCTTTGTTCAAAAATTACTTTGTCTGATGTCCTTCCACCATACACTGAACTTATAAATGTAATTAACCCACCAGGAGTAACACTCGTCATAAATTTTATTGTGTGTCTTCCTTTATAATTTGAATACGTTTTAATCCTGCAACAAAGGCATTTTGGTCTAGATACAGGAATTTCTGTGCAATCTAATACCGCCCTCACATTTCTAAAATTTTCGAAAGAGAGTGGGAGATTTGCTTGGCATTCTTCTAATGAGGGCCAGTAAATAACAGGTTTTAAAAGATTACTTAATAGAACAATGGTTTCGTGGAATATCCTTATACAACTATTTACCGTTATCACATTAAACAAAATTCTAATAACAGAATATC